TGGGAAGTGGGGGAACAGACAGCAAGAGAGAGGCTTGAGAGACTGTGTGTATGAGAGAGGATCTGTGTGTGTGTTTGTGTTTGTGTGAGTGAGTGTGTATGTGAGAATGTATTGTGTGGTGGGGTCACCTGTAGAGTGACATGAAGGTCTTGGCAAGGCGCTCATTGTCGTCGATAATGTGTTGAAGGCTACGAAGAACACGGCGTAGTTTCTTTGCTCCCGGGAAGTACTGGACGATAAAGAGTACCCTTTTGGATGTGTCCTGTCTCTGTCTTCTGAGGAGATTATTACTGTTTTTCGCTGTGGCAAGTCGGAACTGGTGATCGATGAGTTGAGCATCGTATCCTGTTCATATGAGGGCCTCCTTCAATACCTTCAGGTGTCTGTCTCGATCCTCCTCATCTGAGCAGATCCTGGGCTTGTCCATAGGGGATGGCTGTTTTAATATGTTTTGGGTGGAAGCTAGAGAAGTGCAGCATCGTGAGGTTATCCGTAGGCTTCCAGTACTGAGGGATGTACTGAGGTGTCGTCCCTGTTAGAGATGTGTGTGTGTCCAAGAGTGAGACTGATTCTGAAGAGTAATCCATGGTAAGTCTGATGGTGTGATGAAACTTGTTGATATCACTATGTAGTTGTTACAGTGATTCCTCGCCATGAGTTCAACAGAAGAAAATGTCATCAATGTATCTGATGTATGGCACTGATTGGAGGTTCTATGCAGCAAAGAAGTCAAACCGGTGTATGAAAATGGACTACTGTAACCAGGAACACTACAGACAACTTCCTGCCGATGCAACCAAAGAACACACCCGTCAACTAAACAGATTGGTCAAGACTTTTGATCCAGTCCTTCAGAGTCCCCTACGCACTGTCATCCCGCGTACTTCCTGTGTAGGGGACTTCTACTGCCTTCCAAAGATACACAAAGCCAACACACCTGGATGTCCCACCATATCAGGCAATAGGACCCAGTGTGAGAACCTCTCTGGCTATGTCAAGGGCATCCTGAAACCCATTGTACAGGGAACACCCAGCTTCTGCCACGACACTACAGATTTCTTACAGAAACTCAGCATCCACGGACCAATCAAACCAGGAACAATCCTTATCACAATGGATGTTTCAGCACTCTACACCAGCATCCCCCATGAGGATGGCATTGCTGCAACAGCCTCAGCATCAATACCACCAACCGCCAATTTCCAGGCGCCATCCTGCAACTCATCCACTTCATCCTCGACCACAACGTCTTCACCTTTGACAACCAATTCATCATCCAGATGCACGGAACAGCCATGGGGACCAGATTTGCTCCCCAATATGCAAACACTTTTATGCACAGGTTCAAACAAGACTTCTTTGCTGCACAGAACCTCGAATCAATGCTATACACCAGATACACTGACGACATTTTCTTCCTTTAGACTCATGGCGAGGAATCACTGAAACAGCTACATAGTGATATCAACAAATTTCAGTCTCATTCTTGGACACATGCATCTCCATCAGGGACAGACACCTCAGTACATCACTCTACCATAAGCCTACAGATAACCTCATGATGCTGCACTTCTCCAGCTTCCACCCGAAACATATTGAAACAGCCATCTCCTACGGACAAGCCCTACACCTACAGAGGATCTGTTCAGATAAGGAAGAACAAGATGGACACTTGAAGGTGTTAAAGGACGCCCTCACAGGAACAGAATACAGTCAGTCAGATGTACAGCACAGAAACAGACCATTTGGTCCAACTTGTCCATGCTGACCAGATATCCTAAATTAATCTAGTTCCATTTTTCAGCATTTGGCCCATACCCCTCTAAACCCTTCCTATTCATGTTCCCATCCAGATGCCTTTTAAATGTTATAATTGTACCTGTCTCTACCACTTCTTCCGGCAGCTCACTCCATACAAACACCACTCTCTGTGAAGAAGTTGCCCCTCAAGTCCCCAATAAATCTTTCTCCACTCACCTAGAGGGCTTAGCTTTAAGTTTTGGACTCCCCTACTTTGGGGAAAAAAGCCTTGATTATTCACCCTATCCATGCCCCTCATGATTTTATAAACGTCTTTGAAGATTTTCTCCACGGGTCTGCTACAAGAATAGTGCAGAGAACAGGATACTGTGAATCTCATGAAGGCTTTCAGAACTGTCAACAAAATAGAACTTTACAAATTAATTCTCAACTCGCTTCAAATAGCCCAGCAAGTCATTCCATTCTCAAGATGGTGACTTACATTTCCTTCTCAAAAGGCAGTTAGTAATGGCTTTTGGTTGCAACATCCATGCCCCAGGAACATTTAATTCACGAAACACCCATGTTATACACCTGGGACAGTCTTCAGACGAAATCTAATATCAGCAGGAGTTGTTTTTGCATGCTGTCCTTTCACCATATTTTTATAATCCTTAAAATTTATGATCCAGCATTTTATTATATTTGAGACACTACATCACTAATATTGATTTTGAAACATAATGTATTCTGTACTTTACAATACGACACTGACAGATGAGTTCTCATGAGATCAGGTCAGAAGGCAAATCCTTGGACATAAAAATATCTGGAGATCTTGCAGGTAATCAGATCCCAGTCATGCACAGTACCCCAAAAACTAATAAGATCTATAAATAAATATTTATGATGTCATTGTAGTGTTCTACTTTTGCCTGAAGTGTTAATGAAATGTGAAAAGCACATCAGCTTTCAAAAGCAAAATAATAAAGAGTTCAGGGCCAGCAGGTTCCTGTTTGTGTGGAGGGTAAGGCTGGCAGGAGTAGGGAACACTGGATGACTTGGAGATATCGAGGTTCTGGTTAAGAAAAAGGAGGCGTATGTAGAGTACAGACAGCTGGGATCAAGGGAATCCCTTGAGGAGTATAGGGAGTGTAGGAGTACACTTGAGGGAAATCAGGAGGGCAAAACGGGGACCTGAGATAGCTTTGGCAGATAGGGTAAAGGAGGATCCAAAGAGATTCTCCAGGTATATTAAGGGCAAAAGAATAACTAGGAACAGAATATGGTCTCTTAAAGAACAACAAGGCCAATACGATGCTCAACTCATCGATCGCCAGTTCTGAAGTGCCACAGCAAAATTCCGTAATGACCTGCTCAGAACTTCAGCTTTCATGTACACATTAGCATGTGGCCAGGTTGGGGGAAATTTTCCACTCTGGGTATTCAAGCCTACATTTTCCATTTCATAAGAACTAGGTTGATAGTAGATTGAATAACATTGTAAAAAGTCTAGATTCTTGTGCTGTCTGAATATGCAAACATACACCGCATTAAAGGAAGGATGTGGAAGCATTGGAAAGGGTGTAGAGGAGATTTACCAGGACGTTGCCTGGTATGGAGGGAAGGTCTTATGAGGAAAGGCTGAGGGACTTGAGGCTGTTTTTGTTAGAGAGAAGAATGTTAAGAGGTGACTTAATAGAGACATACAAGATGATCAGAGGATTAGATAGGGTGGACAGCGAGAGTCTTTTTCCTCTGATGGTGATGGCCAGCATGAGGGGACATAGCTTTAAATTGAGGGGTGATAGATATAGGACAGATGTCAGAGGTAGGTTCTTTACTCAGAGAGTAGTAAGGGCGTGGAATGTCCTGCCTGCAACAGTAGTAGACTCGCCAAGTTTAAGGGCATTTAAATGGTCATTGGATAAACATATGGATGATAATGGAATAGTGTAGGTTAGATGGACTTCAGATTGGTTTCACAGGTCGGTGCAACATCGAGGGCCGAAGGGCCTGTACCGCACTGTAATGTTCTATTATCACCTATTATCCAATAGGGTATCCTTTGTGTCCAGTACTTCCCAGGAGCACAGAAACTATGCCATGTTCTTTGCAGCCTTCAACATATTATCGATAATGATGACCATCTCACCAAGATCTTCCCCACGCCTCCACTTCTTGCCTTCAAACAACCACCAAACCTTAAACAGACCATTGTTCACAGCAAACTAACCAGCCTTCAGGACAACATCGATCATAACACCCTACAACCCTGTCATGGTAACCTCTGCAAGATATGTCAGATCTTCGACATGGACACTACCATCACACGTGGGAATACCACCCACCATGTGCACGGCAGATACACGTGACTCGGCCAACGTTGTCTATCACATATGCTGCAGGCAAAGATGTCCCGAGGCATGGTATATTGGCAAAATCGTGCAGACGCTACGACAATGGATGAATGAACACTGTGCAACAATCGCCAGACAGTGATGTTCCCTCCCACAGGGGGAACACTTCAGCGGTCAAGGGCATTCACGCTCAGATGTTTGGATAAACGTCCTCCAAGGCGGACTTCAGGATACACAACAACGCAGTTGCTGAGCACAGGCTGGTAGCCAGGTTCAGTACCCAGGAGGACGGCCTCAACTGGGATCTTGGGTTCGTGTAGCACTACAGGTGACCCCATCACACTGTACACTCTCTCTCTCTCACACACACACACACACACACGCACGCATACATACACTTAGACAGATCCTCTCTCATCCACACACAGTCTGTCAAGCCTCTCTCTCTCCCACACGCACACACACGTGAATGTATGGGTAAATTTGTATTTGCAGATACATTTTATTTTGTTCAAAAAGCACACAATTTATAGACAGTCAGTCAATGTGGTGTTTTATACATTCGTACTTTAGAAATAAAACCAGTCTGACTCCAAACTAAAACACAAACAGATTGTAAACAGGGCATCACAGCTAACATGCATCATCTGGCCTAAAATGTCACCTCTTCTTTACACTGATAAAACCTTTAATTCTCTCAGGACCATGACTTGAAAGGAATTCGGGGATTTATATATATATATTAATCAATTAATACCTTCTAACCAATTAAAGATTTAATAGCATCTTAGGTTTGTTTAGTACATCCTCATCCATGGTGTAAACCTTTGATCTTTTACTTATAAATTCTGTGGCTGATACTACCTCAAACACTGACACCTGAAGAAGGGCTGAGGCTCCAAAAGCTTGTGTTTTCAAATAAATCTGTTGGACTATAACCTACTGTTGTGTGATTTCTGACCTTGTCTACCCCAGTCCAACACCAGCAACTGCATATTATTGGTATTAGTTCAGGGAGAAGTATCAGCCAGGACACTTGAAAGATCGTTCCTACTTTTCTTCAAAAAAGCGCAATGGGATCTTTCCACCATCTAGCCAAGAGGGGAGCCTACATCTTGTATCGTTCTCAACCCAAAAATTGGAACCTCTGATGGTGCATCACTCTCGGTGCTATAACTGCAGAATTTTCCTGGATTTTCTATAGAATTGCGTTTGAAACCACAGCCTTCTGACACAAAGAGGTTAGAATGCTACTATTCAGCTGCAGCTGATATGGTGCAACTACACATCCTGAAAATGCGAAAGATGCCACATAAATGTTAGCTCTTTTAAAATATATACTGCAAGGTCCACTCTAAACCAGTCCTGATCCAAAATAATGTGCCAGTTTCCCTGTACAATACAAAACTTCGAAAATCCCATTGGTGTTCACAACCGTCGTGATTGATTCTTAACTACTGTCTGAAATAGCCATCAAAATCCACCATAATCACAGTTTGGAGAAGGTGATGGGCACATTCCAAAAATGAATTTTGAAAACTGCCTCCCTTACTTTCTCTGGTTATATATTTTTAGCTGCACTTTTATTAATCCAGAGAATTCAAACGCCAGGTTTTTTTGGGCTTTCGTGTTTCCCTGTCTATTTTTTTCTAAATTTCTAACAGGCCGCTCACTGCAGTTCGTCCAGTAGGCGCTCCAACTTCTCCCTCTTGGTCCCCGAGAACTCTCCCATTCTGGCCGAGCGCCTGAAGAAGTGGAAGGTGGGCATGCATGTGATGCCAGCGGACCGAGCAAGCGGCTCCGCGTCGTCGACATCCACCTCCACGAAGACGATGTTGGTCAACTGCTCGGAGAGGTTGTAGAAATGCGGCCGGATCATGCGGCAGTTGCTGCACCACTCGGCCGAGTACATGACGACCACCAGCTGCTCGGTCTGGCTCAACAGGTTCTGGAACTGCTTGGCGTCCTCCACGTGTCTCACCACCATGCTGCTTCCGGGTCCGTGCCCACCTTCCCACTGGCCCCGCCCTCAAATCCGCACCCAGTTGTGACGAAGGTCGACGTCAACATCCCATTGGCTGATTCTCATTGGCCGCTACAATTTGCTACTTTTTCATGAATGGGTCGGAAAGATATCAGCTCCATTGGCTAGAATGCGGTTGATTGACGGCGCAAGCAGCCTATCAGAAAGTCCATCACGGCGATTTCGTAGCCACCACAATTCTATTCAAAAGGATCAGAGTCAGTGGATCTGAATTTGTCCCGGACAGATTCCACAAACATCAGTGAAATAATGATCTGTTGAGGTCCTGGTGGTGCAAGGGTAGTGTCCCTTCCTCTGAGCCAGGAGGCAAGGGTTCAAGTCGCACCCGCCCCAGAGATGTGTAATACTATACCTGGACAGGTTGATTAAAATACCAAAACAAAATACCTAAAGCGATCCATTCATGGCACTATGTGGTGCACTGGTCCTTTCCCTAACTCTGAGACATGAAACTTAGGTTCAAGGCATGCTTCCCAACATGACGAAACTGTCTGAACAAGTTAGTTAGAAATATCTGTAATGACCTATTCAGAGTTAATTAACCTAAAATTCTCAATTATGCTTCTCTCTTCACAGGTGCTGTGTGATATGCTTCCATATTTCTTGCATTCACAGTGTTTTACGTAGGAGACAATGATCAATTAATTTGAGGAAGAGTCAGACTGGACTTGAAACATTAACTCTTTCTCTCTCCACAGATGCCGTCAAACCTGCTGAGTTTGTCCAGCACTTTCTGTTTTTATATCAATTAATCTTTTTAGCTTTTAGTTGAGGATAAGTATTGGCCAGGACATCAGGAGAACTCTCCTGTTCTTTGCACAGAAACAAGCCAAATAGCCTTTACTTGTTTGATATACGTCTCTACCTATACCCTCTATTCCATATTCAGCATGTTTTTAGCATATGTTTCTATTCTCTTTTCTTTCGTGTACTCATCTAGTCTCTTATCGAAAGCATTTAAATGATTCGCCTTGGTCACTTCCATTCAGCTCCTCATGTCTGCTCCAGCTCTTCAAATGAACATCATTATCCATTGTCAATCTGGTTTTCCCCATGCTCTCGCACATTACTTCTTTCCAAATGATCACACAATAGCCTACTGAATGCCTCAATTGAACCTGTTTCTACCACACTTCAAGACAGTTTATTCCATATCCTAACCACTCACAGTCCAAAACGTGTTTTGTTCCTTGCCTCACAATCGCTTTGTTTGCTTTAAATCTAAGTCTTTAAATGTCTAGTTGTTGACCCTTTTACGAGCGGGAACAGTTTCTCCATATCTACTCTACCAAGCTCCAGCATGATTTTGAAAACCTCTATCAGATCTTCTCTCGGCCTTCTCTCCTGGGAGAAAAGTCCCAAATTCTTCAATCTATCATCATAACTGAAATTTCTCCCTGGAATCATTCTTGTAAATCACTTCTACACTTTCTCTAATATGTTCACATCCTCACTATCATGTGGCCTCCAGAACTGTACCTCCAGTTGAGGTCTAACAAGTGTCTTGTACAAGTTCAACATCAGCTCCTTGTTTTTACACTATGCACCTATTAAAATATAAAGCATTAATAAAAATAAAATAATTAATATCTAAAATTATCATTCATAAAATATCCAATCATACGTAATTTTAAATCCTCTACATCTTTGAATTTCTAAAGAAAAAGTCCTACCCTGTTAAAACATAAGCATACTTTATCAGTTCTGGTACCATCATTGTAATTCTTTTTTTCACTTTCTCCAGTGCTTCCATATCCTTTTAATAGTATGGAGAACAGATTGTGAATTCTAATTGCAAACAATCATATTAATACAACTTCATTAGTTTGGAAATGCATAACACTAGAAATAAATCTCCGGTACTTGGTTAGCATTTTTAATAGCTTTGCTAACCTCATAATAATTTGTTCACTTTTTCCTCAGGTTTGCTTTGCTCATTCATCCCTTTAAGTTTCGTTTTTCCCCAAGGCTTGGTCTTTTCATTTTTTTTTATCAAACCCATAACCTGTATTTCTATATTAACATTGAATCTGCTACTTAACTCCAGCATGCAAATGTCCTAATTCTTCTTGTATCTTCTCAGTACTAGTTAAACCTCCCACCAACCCCATATCAATAAGTATTGAGTTGTTTGTTACCAAATCCAAACCAATAATGTAAATTATGAACATCAGTGGTCCTACTGCTGATTCTGTGGAACATCTCTTTCTACTTTCCTCTGAACTAAATGACTACACTTTATTCCTGCTTACTGTTTTCTGCTTTTTAGACAACTTGCTGTCTATTTAGCTGACTGTCTTTGCACTTTAATCTTTCTCAAAGGCTTGCCATAAAGTACCTTTCTAATAACCTTTGGAAAATCCAATATATGACAGCTACTGCATTGCCCTTTTTAAACTTCCTGTTATCCTTTCAGAAATTTAAATCAAGTCAGTTAAGCATGCCTTTTGGGATGTGTGCTACATTTCTTATTGTATCTGTAGTCCCTACATGTTCATCTAGCACTCTTTTAGTGCATACTCCAGCACTTTTCCTCCTACTGGCATTAAGCTGCCTGTTCTATAGACTTAGATTATTTTTCTAATTCCCTTCCATATATTAACTAGCTCCTGTACTATCTCCTTCCTTTTTCCTTGATAATACATTTGGTGCATGCTTTCAGGCATGTTGTTTAAACCATTTATTTGAAAGAGTCCCATGGAGTACTGGGCGGCACTGTGGCTCAGTGATTAGCACTGCTGCCTCACAGCAGTAAGGACTCAGGTTTGATTACAGCCTTGGGCAACTGTCTGTGTGGAGTTTGTACATTCTCCCCATCTCTGTGAGGGTTAGGTGGATTGACCATGCTAAATTGCCCACAGTGTGCAGGGGTGTGCAGGCTAGGTGAATAAGCCATGGGAAATGCAGGTTATAGGGATAGGGTATGGGAGTGGCTCTGTGTGGGTTGCTCTTTGGAGGGTTGGTATGAGCTGCATAGCCTGCTCCCACATTGTAGGGATTCTATGAAATTGTTTACATCCACCTTTGAAAGCATACGGAACCTCAGTTTAATTTCTTGTCCACAAAGCATCACCTCTGAGACTGCAGCAATCTTTCAGTACTGCACAGGACAGTCTGCATGTGATGGTCAATGTCTTCATACACCCTAACCAATCCATGTTACCCTGACTACTTGAATGTGTTATCTCATACGTGGGATTTATGAAAATTGTTTCGGAGCATCACTGTGTTATTTAATTTTTTGCGAAGCAATTTTAACAAAACAATACACATAATTGGTCAGATTATAATTTTATTTGATTTTGTCTGCCTGAAAATTCATATTACTGACCCTTTGGTGTCTGATCCTAATACTCTCAGAAGATCATAGAACATAAGAAATAGGAGAAGTAGGCTACTCAGCCCGTCAAGCCTATTCTGCCATTCACTAAAATTATGGCTGATCGTTGACTTCAACTCCACTCTCTTGCCTGATCCCCAATATCTCTTGATTCTTTTTGAGTCCAGAAACATATCATTTTCAACATTAACTATACTCAACAACTAAGCCTTTTGGGGAAGAGTTTTACAAGATTCAAAACCTCCTAAGTGAAGACATTCCTCGGTTTCTTTATTTCAGTCTAAAGTAGCTGTCCCCACTCTGAAACTATGACCCCTCCTTCTCAGCATCCACCCTGTCAGAAATTTCAGAATCCCATACGTTTCAATGACATCACCCCACCAAGTCTTCTAAACTTCAGATAATAAGGTCCATTCCAGTCACACTCTCCTCATAGCACAATCCTTAATCCCAAAAAAATTTCCAGTGGATCTTTGTTTGCATCCCTTCTGAGGCCAATGTATCCTTCCTTAGGTAAGGAGGCCAAAACTGTACACAGTATTCCAGATGTAGTCTCATCGGGGTCGGGGGTGTGGGTGTGGTACTGGGAATCTGCTATACTACTTTCTAAAGGAAGGAGCAGTTGTAGAATGTAAAGCCAAGTGCCCAGTAACAATGCTACAAGAATTCAAATGACTTCTCATGGGCGATCATGGTTGATGGTTGTATCTTAACATGGAAACTCATACCCATTACACCAGCAACCTTTCACACTGCTCAAGCACCACACCCAATCCCTCACCCTGCACCACCTCCTGAATCTTAGGACCTATGCCTTAGACTCCAAGTCCTCCACCTCTCCTTCACACTGCCACCTCTCACCTCTTCTACATACCTCCAGCCATGAAACCACAATGCTGCATTATCACTGACATTCTGCCTTTCCTCTTCAAGGACAAGGTGGCCCTTAACAAGAAGAAGCTGCACAGAAGGCAAGGACGCCTGCAATTCCTGATGCCTCCAAAGGAGGTACTGTCATGGGGTTAGCTGTAATAGAATCTCTGGCATCAGACATCACTGAGACGATTGAGGATGAACGTATGTTCTTGCCTTATTACCCTTTTCAACTTCCAGCACACCATGATCCTGCTGTCTGGCAATGATGAGCAAGCTGCTAATGGTGTGATCTTAGGCCTCTTGTTTTACACCACCTCCCCTCACACTAACCCACTCCTGCCCAGCCACTGTATCCCAAGGATTGAGTGACAGGACAGCACTTATAAAGGGGCCCTGTTGCTATCCTTGATGCTCCCAGCCACCAGATCAAATATTGGCACTGCATGCAACCTGGAAGCTAGACATAAGTTGGGTTCAATACGCAATCAGTCATTCAGGTATAAGTGGGTTACAGCCAGGAATGGGGGTTCCCTTGCCAGCTGATTGAGAGGGAGGTCACAGATGGGTACTGCTGCAGTATACTCAGTTGAAAATCTTGATATGCACAGATGGGCCGGCACTTTGAGATGCTGGATACATCAGCAGCCAGTTTCCAGACACTGTCAAGGACCATGGGAGAGATCAGCTCCCAGCAGGCAGAAGACATTAGTACAGCTAGTCTATTTCCCCAGCCTTGGGAAGGAAGTTGCCAAGTGACGTTCAATTGCACTTCCCAAACTCTCAACCTTCACCACCTAGAAGGACAAAGTAAGCAGATCATAGAAACACCACCAGGTTTCTCTCCAACCACACGCAATCCTGACCTGGTAATATATCACCATTCCTTCACCATCACTAGGTCAAAAACTTAGAGCTCCCTACCTAACAGGGCATGGACCACCTTCACCCCACAGCATGGAATGGTCCGAGGTGTTCCAAGAGAAAACAGAGATAGGCAAGAAGAAATGCTGGCCTTGTGAGAGATGTCATCTCCTAATAATGAACTGTTGGATAGCACATAATCAAATGAGCCCCAAGAGTATTTTTTTAACAGTGTTCACTATACGAATGGAAAGTGCCTGACATAAATTATCACAGACACTGAATCTACAATAGCAATTCCCAATTTACAGTAATAAAGATAAAGTTTGGAAATGCCATCTGAAGACCACAATGTAAATAAAACAAGGCAATTGTTCATAGACAGGTAGTTTGCCGTCACACATGGTGTCAGCATGAAGGAGTAAAGATTAAATCATACAGTTTGCTCAGACATACTCAGATACAGAAATTACATTCATTATTAAACCTGATGATTCATATATTTTGTCGAGAAATAGAGTCACAGAGTTATACAGAAAGGAAACAGACCCTTCGGTCCAACTTGTCCATGCCAACCACGTATCCTAAATTAATCTAGTCTCATTTGCCACTGTGTGGCCCATATCTCTCTAAACCCTTCCTATTCATGTACCCATCCAGATGCCTTTCAAATGTTGTTATTGTACCAGTCTCCACCACTTCCTCTGGCAGCTCATTCTATACACGCGCCACCCTCTGCCTTGGTCCCTTTATATAGTTCGCCTCTCACCTTAAACCTATTCCCTCTAGTTTTGGACTCCCCCACCCTGGGAAAAAAATCTTGGCTTTTAACCCTATCCATGCCCCTCTATAACATCACTCCTCAACTTTTCACACTCCAGGGAAAATAGCCTTAGCCTATTAAGCCTCTCCCTATAGCTCAAACCCTCCAACCCTGTCAATATCCTCATAATTATTTCTGCATCCTTTCAATTTAACAATATCTATCCTATAGCAATACAAATCTCTAAAATACTGTCTAAAAATTCCAGTATCCCATGAAAGAGTTGAGGTCCCAACACTGGTCCTTGTGGTACAACATTCATCGCATTCTGACAACCTGAAAATGTCCCATTTATACTCATGCTATTGGTTCCTATTAGCTGAGCAACACCTCTATCAATGCTAATATTGTTACTGCCTTCACCATGATCTTCTACCTTAAAAAGTAACCTTTGATGTGGCACCTTGTCAAATGCCTTCTAGAAATCTAAGTACAGTGCATCTACTGGTTGTTGTTTATATGTATTGACTTTACTTCCTCAAGGAACTCCACTAAATTTATCAAACATGACTTCCCTTTCACAAAACAACTGCCTGATTATTTCTGCAATATTATTTGCATCTTATTATCATATATAGTGAAGACACAAAATATCTGTTCAATTAATGCACAATTTCCCTATTTTTCATTATTAATTCCTCAGATTCACTCTGTAGAGGACCAACACTCAGCTTACTTAGGTTGCTTTTTAAATACCTATAGAGTTCTTACAATCAGTTGTTATATTTCTAGCTACCTTTCTCTCAAATTCTAATTTCTCCCTCCTTAATAGTCTTTTAGTGTTCTTTATATACTGTCCGATCTTCTGACCTGCCACTCAGTTTTGCAAAGATCTTTCCATTTAATGCTATCTTTAGCTTCCATAGTTATCCAAAGATCTTTCTTTTACAATCATTCTTTCTGATTTGAATGTACATTTTTCAAGTATATTGAAATAGCATTTGAAGCAGCCTACCACTGAATATCTCTACTGACCTATCCCTTAAGTTTCCAGTCACTTTAGCCAGCTCTGTTGTCATAATTGCCCCTATAGTTTGTCCTTAAGTTTAAAATACCAGTCTTGGGTCCACTCTTTCCTCCCTTGAACCTAATGGGAAATTTGATCTTTGCCGCCCTGAGTACCTTTACTATGAGGTCATTAATGAATATTGTCTCATTGTACATTACCTGGTCTAGCATTGTCTGTTCTCTGGTTGGCTCTAGAACATGCTGTTCTAAGAAGCTGTCATGAAACTCTCTGTGAACTCATCATTCAGGCTATCCTTGCCAGTTGATTCATTCAATCTAGATGAAGGTTAAAAATCACCCACAATTTTCACCATACCCTACTCATAAGCACCAATTATCTAATCCTGGAAACCCTGCCCAACAGTGTGGTCACAGTTAGGATACCCATAAACTACTCATACAAGTGACTTCTTTACCTTTCCCATTTCTCATCTCTATCCAGGTCTACACCCTAACATCCAAAACTAAGATCATCTCTCTTGATTAAGAATAGCGCTGGTACTATTAACAGAGCAATTGCTCGCTCCATCTTTACCTAGTTTCCTGCCCTTCCTAAAATGTCATCAACTATGAATATGCATGCCCCATTTTTTTGGCATTTTGTAACCACGTCTCTGTAATGATTACTTATTTCTATTTGAGATGCAAAATCATGTTTTGTTACAAATGCCATGTGCATTCAGCTTTGAACCTTTAGTTCTATCTTTTTACTATTTTCTAATCTTTAGTCCTTCCTACTGTTACACTCTTAGATTAGTACACCATCCCTTCCTATCATGTTCTGATACAATTTGCTTCATTGCTGCCTTGCTCTTTTGCCTTATCTTCTCCATTTAACTTACAGAATCTTTCCTAACTTGATCCTTCTCCACCACTATTTAATTTAAAGTCCTCTCTACTGGCCTAGTTATGACGCGCCAGCACACTGGTCCCAGTAAGTTCTGCTGAAGACCATTCCAACAATACAGCTACCATTTCCCCAATACGGGTGACCCTGAAATCAAAGGGGTATTCTCTCACATCAATCTTTGAGTCACACATTTAATTTTATTATAGAGCGCCTGTTTCCTTCTGGCCAGCTTGAACACAATGGACCAAAGAGCTTTTTTTCCACACTGTAAAAATCTATGACGCTAATGTTAAAAAGGAAAAGTACACGCGTTTCAAAAGTATACAATGTGGTTCAATGGTAGTGACCCTGCCTCCGAACCAGAAGGCACTGGTTCAAGTGCCACCTGCTCTAAACATGTGTAACAGTATGACCGAACACTGATTAAAAATATCTAAAATACAAACATTAAAGCAGCTTTTGATTGTTCCTTAACTGTGCTAAACCTGACCTGAGATCGATCATTGCTGAGTATTCAAAGTGGAAAAATATTCCTACTCATGCTATTGAGCACACAAGTCAAAGCCTACTTGTAAATGATAAATCCAGCTCTGTAATTTGGAATAGAATATCCGGGATTACGTCTTAACTTCAAGTTTGCTTGGTACCAATTATTATTTTAGGCACTGTCAAACTTGCTGGAAAAATATAACCTTTCTCTCAGATAGCAAATGTTGATGAGTACTAATTAAATACTACTGGCCAAGTGCTAGAGAATGGGATTGGAACAGACAGGTGAATGGTGGGGGTCATATTCTATGCTGTAAAATCTCTGAGACTCTACTCTTCAAAGGAGAAAAAACAAAACATAGACAAGATAACCGTTAGGTATCGGCCTGCTTTAATTTAGGCGAAAACTGCGATCCATCTCCCTGCAGCTTTTGGATCATCCGCTCCAGGAGGCAGCGGTTGGGTCCCTTAAACTGAAAGATCTTAACACCGGTCTTGTAGAACTGGAAGGTGGGGAACCATTCAATGCGGCAACGCTGCACCACATCCTTGGCCACGTTGATGTCCACCTCGTAGAAGGCCACCTCCGGATAGGATTCGGCGAACTGGTCGAAGTATAGCTGAATCATCTGGCAGAACTCGCACCAGTGCGCGGCGAAGAGCATTACGACCAGGCGCTGCTCACTGTCGCGCAAAGCCTCCTCATACTCTACCACACACTTGATGGTATTGACCTCGCCCATCGCCCCGCCTACAGAGCCGGCCCCGCCCACTCAAGGCCCTAGGGGTTTCGCCTCTACACGCCGCACACCCCACACCCGTCACGTCATTGAAACGTGCTACAAACACCTCCACCGCCATTGGCCGATACGGTTCCCGGCGCTCCGCCAATCACAACCGGCCTCCGTAGCTTAGCAACAAGGGTTAAAAATACATTTCAAAAATGGCGTTCTCAACGTCGGTCACTCACATTCGACCGCCGATTACTCACTGTCGAGCACCAACTCCCTCCAAAGTGAGCGCTCGGCATTTTAAACCCCCACCTCACCCCGCAAAACGTTTGAATTGTTGGGATTTTCAAACCAAGTTTTTCGGTCCACCCCGCCAAGGTAGACGCGACGGCTATTGGGCGAGCGGGCTGTCTATCAATGGACCCCACAGCCGTCTAGATGATGGGCGGCGTTATTTACCAATCGTAAGAGCAGGATGAGCATCACCTTTTCCCCAATAGGTCCACGCCTCCCAACGCCCGGCAAATAGGACCGGCTTCAGGGGGCCGGTACCTCGAGCCAGTGTCTTGATTTGCCCCGAGTGCGGCGGCCGGGAGGAGGAGTGCGGGCGAGAAAAACAACATGAAGAATTAATTCGGCGGGGCACGGACGCGTTATGGCGGTCGGGGGTCGATAAGGAGCGAAAACCGTGTCTAACTACTGTGATGATCGGGATATAATTAAAACAAATAGTCACGTCCGAGTAAATCAGCAGGTAGCGACCCGATCCCGGCGAGAGTTTTTTTTTTAATTTGATTGCTGTGGCGCTCAGGGCGCCCGTTACACGGCGGCTTCGAAGTGGCCGTTTTTCATCTCCGAGGCCAGGAATTATGCGCTGAAGTAGCTGGCTTCATAGAAGGTGTCTCTCCGGAAAGGATGGATTCCCGGGGTGGGGGGCAGTCCTGTTGCCCCAACAATCCCACCTTATGGGGGTGGAAAGGGTGGGGGGGCGGTGGGAAGAGAGGGGGTGGAGCGGGGAAAGTTCTCGGTGGCACAATCGCGCATGCGCGTCAAGACCACCAGCTGGCCGGGACCTGTCGCGCTACCTCTTCTTTAGAGGTGAAGACTGCTTTTTTTTTAGGGAGGTAGTTGTAGGATGAACCATCCAAGGCGAGATTTTGGATGTGCCGATTGGCACCGAACCGCTAATAGTTGCCGCGCCGTAGGACTGGCGGTAGCACTCGCACTCAACGAACTACAAGCCCCATAATGCACCGCGCGTCGTGCCTCGGAAATGTGGGCAGGCCTTCAAAGGGAAGTGGTGTCAGGGTCTCTTTTTAAATTCAGTTTTGAGGTGGGGTTGTTTAGATAATAATGGAATTGGGAATGTTCGATCATTTTAATGCATACGTTTTATCTGTACTGAGTGAGAAAAGCTGCCTTCTCCTTGCTTGTTAATGCAGCGTTTTCAGGAGGCTGCGTGTAAGGTGGACCGAGTTTTAGGGTCTGCAGTTATGTTGACTGATGAAAGGTGATGGGATTATTCTCCTGTAGTGAGGGGAGTGTTGCACTGTTTGCAGCAATCCTTTTCAAATAAATGTGAAAGATCCCTTGGTGCTATTTTGATGAGGAAGCACCAGTGGAATTGGCTGATGTATTTCATAGAATCCCTACAGTGTGGTAACAGGCCCTTCGGCCCAACAAGTCCACACTGACCCTCAGAGCATCCCACCCAGACCTGTCCCTATATAACCCATTTAATCTGCACATCCCTGAACACTACGGGTAATTTAGCATGGCCAATCCACCTAACCTGCACCTCTTTGGACTGTGGGAGGAAACCAGAGCACCTGGAGGAAACGCACGCAAACATGGGGAGAATGTGCAAACTCCACACAGACAGTCACCTGAGGGTGGAATGGAACCCAGGTCCCTGGCACTGTGAGGCAGCAGTGCTAACCACTGGGCAACTGTGCTGCCCAGAGTGTGGTAGTTTTATCACCAACATCTGCAGCATTACCCTCAGTGGCTCCCTAGTCCCATCATCCTACTGACAAAAACCTCCTCCCACAACTATCTTTTTCTCATTTATTTGGGAGTGTTGGCTAGGTCACATTAATGGCTGATCCCAAGTTGCTAGTGAGATCAGCCATTAATGTGACCTAGCCAACACTCCCATATAAA